CCTCCCGAGCCGCCAGTACCAGCCAGGAGGGACACGGATCCAATAAACATGTGGTTGCATTCAGTCCCCCCAGGATCCTGTCCACGTCCTCGGGAGCCACAGAGTCAAACTCCTCCCATACAACAGTCTCAAGGCCTGCCATTGCCTCCTCCCCCGGGACCACCCAGTCGGAGTCCAAACCCTCTCGGATCCGAGCGATAGATGATAGATAAGATACATTGATAGATAGATGATAGATAGATAGATGATACAATAGATAAATAGATAATTGATTGATGATGATAGATAGATAGATACAGTAGATAGATAGAGCGATATAGATAGATAATTGATTGATGATACGATAGATAGATAGATAAATAGATAGATAGATAGATAGATAGATAGATAGATAGATAGATACAGTAGATAGATAGAGCGATATAGATAGATAATAGATAGATAGATAGATAGATAGATAGATAGATAGATAGATAGATAGATAGATAGATAGATAGATAGATAGATAGATAGATAGATAGATAGATAGATAGATAGATAGATAGATAGATAATTAGATAGATGGATGGATGGATGGATGGATGGATGGATGGATGGATGGATGGATGGATGGAGAGAGAGAGAGAGAGAGACTGACTAACTGACTGACTGACTGACTGATGTGGAGTCCTTGACATTCTCTGAGCTTGGCTGTTTCCTTGCAGACATTTCATGACCCAACTAGGTAACATCATCAGTGCTAGAAGGGAGTCAGTGGGTTTTGCTCTCTGTTTACATACAGGTGGCTTGCCCTGTCAGCATTGGGTGGGGTGGCCTTGATTAGGCTATTGTTTCCTGTTTGATTGTTGGTCTGAATTGGTTGTTCCTTGATTGAGAATTTGTTTACCGCTTGATGGTTGATCTAGTGTTAAACTTATTTACTCTATTTTTATTTACTGTTAGACTTCTACGCCAAGACATCTATGCTAGGCAGCTTACTGTCATGCAATTAAAACACCAAATAAAACATTACACGATGAATGTTAAATCTTGGTGTTGTCTTTGGTTATCTAGGTGTTGTTTGCTGGTGAGGAGGCATTTTGATCTTTTTTGTTTCCTTTATGGCTTTTTGATGTCTGTTTTGCCACTAGTATACTGTATAAACAGACAGCAAACCCCACTCCTTTGTAGCACTGATGATGTTACCTAATTGGGTCGTGAAACGTCTGCAAGAAAAAAAAGACCCAATGGTATGTAAATATAAGCAGAGAGCAAACCTCACTCCCTTCTAGAACTGAAGATTTTACCCAAACCCAATAGAGACCATCCTTGTTCCAGCAAGCAAAATTGGCACCAGTGACTTGGCCATTAAGCGGAGCAGTCGCTAAATGAAAGGGTCCTGTGCTCACGATCCGACTTTCTTTTGCTTTAAAGAGCCACGAAGCTCTTCAAGGCAAGGATGGCTCGCAACGTGACTTTTTTCACGAGTAACGGTAAACGGTCATTGTCTGAAGCAGTCACTAAATGAGGACTGCCTTTATTTAGCCCACAGATCTATCTTACAGCCATCAGATTACTCTACAGCAGGGGTCTTCAAACGTGGCCCTTTTATGACTTGTGGACTTCAACACCCAGAATTCCTCAGCGAGGCACATGAAATTTACATTTTTATCATCCTCCAGAAAGGAAAAAACACAAGATAGTCAGGCACATAGGAATATCCTGAGGTAAATCAAACAGTATACAGAACACACAGAGGGAAAAAGGTGGGAAAAAAGGGAAACGCCCCCTTCATACCCACAGCAACCAATCAGAGTGTAGATTGCCTCATGCATGAGTCAGCACTCTCTAATTCAGGGGTCTTCAAACTTGGCCCTTTTATGACTTGTGGACTTCAACACCCAGAATTCCTCAGCCAGGCACATTAAATTTACATTTTTATCATCCTCCAGAAAGGAAAAACACAAGATAGTCAGGCACATAGGAATATCCTGAGGTAAATCAAACAGTATACAGAACACACAGAGGGAAAAAGGCGGGAAAAAAGGGAAACGCCCCCTTCATACCCACAGCAACCAATCAGAGTGTAGATTGCCTCATGCATGAGTCAGCACTCTCTAATTCAGAGGTCTTCAAACTTGGCCCTTTTATGACTTGTGGACTTCAACTCCCAGAATTCCTCAGCCAATTCCTGCTCAGGCACGTGTGCCTGGCTGAGGAATTCTGGGAGTTGAAGTCCACAAGTCATAAAAGGGCCAGGTTTGAAGACCCCCTGCTCTAGAGATCCTCAATTGCCTCAATTCTCCTTACCCGACTTATAGAAATGGAACTGGAAACTCTTAGCATCCACACCCAAGGATACTGGCCCCATCGTGGCCACAGCTTGCTCCAGGGCCGCCTCGTTCTGTGACTGAATCCGCACTAAGGACGTGCAGTTGCCCACCCGGGTTTTTGGGTTGTAGTGACATTTGAACTCGTCCTGCAGAGATGGGACAGGAAGACGCAGGGGAAGTTTAGCAGCCTTTTTTGAGACTGGCCCATAGAACATAGAATCAGGGTTGGACGGGACCTTGGAGGTCATCTAGTCCAACCCCCTGCTCAAACAAAAGACCCTATACCATTTCAGACAAATGGCTGTCCAGTCTCTTCTTAAAAACCTTTTCATTATAGTAAGTAACATACTGTTCATTGTGTAATCAACAAAAATGGCCAGTAAATAGAGGAATAATAACCACAGTCTGGGGGGGGGGGGTCCTTGATGATCTCTGAGCTTGGTTCTTTTGTTGCAGACATTTCATGACCCAACTAGGTAACATCATCAGTGCTGGAAGGGGGTGGGTTTCTTCCAAATAGAGTAGAGTAGAGTAGAGTAGAGTAGAGTAGAGTAGAGTAGAGTGGAATAGATTAGAAATAGGAATGGAATAGAATAGAATAGAATAGAATAGAATAGAATAGAATAGAATAGAATATGGAATGGAATGAAATGGAATGGAATAGAGTAGAATAGAATAGAATAGAATAGAATAGAATAGAATAGAATAGAATAGAATAGAATAGAATATGGAATAGAATAGAATAGAATAGAATAGAATAGAATAGAATAGAATAGAATAGAATAGCAGAGTTGGAAGGGACCATGGAGGTCTTCTAATCCAACCTCCTGCTCAGGCAGGAGACCCTATACCATTTCAGTCAAATTGTTGTCCAATCTCTTCTTAAAAACCTCCAGTGTTGGAACACCCACAATTTCTGGAGGCAAGGAGTTCCACTGATTAATAGTTCTAACTGTCAGGAAGTTTCTTCTTAGTTCTAGGTTGCTTCTCTCCTTGATGAGTTTCCATCCGTTGCTTCTTGTCCTGCCTTCGGGCGCTTTGGAGAATAGCTTGACTCCCTCTTCTTTGGGGCAACCCCTGAGATATTAGAACGCTGCTATCCTGTCACCCCTCGTCCTTCTCTTCATTAAGGAGGAGCTTAATGAAAAGAGCTTCGTTTCATTCTTTTCGTTCCTAGCACTGATGACGTTACCTAGTCGGGTCATGAGACGTCTGCAAGAAAAGAACCCAGCTCAGAGGGCACCAAGGACCCCACAGCTCCACTCTGAGCCACAAAGATTCTCTTCCGTCGGTCGATCACGCCTTGCCCATGTCCACCTCGTCTCCCTCTCTCACCTTCTCCCGGTAAGGATAATCCTGCTCCGAATTGATGCCTCTGTTGTCCCGAACGTACTCAAAGGCGTGGCTGACGTAGCCCCCGTGACAGCCCTTGTTGCCCAGCTTCCAGGAGCAGTCCATGAGGTTCTGCTCGCTCAGGGGCACCAGCTGGCCAGTCTTTTTGAAGAGCAGCCCCTCCAGAGCCCCCGTGGCACTGAAGGCCCAGCAGGAGCCACAGTGTCCCTGTGTGGAGAGGAAGAGGCTGGGAGGAGCTCTGCAGAGCCAGGAGGCCAAAGCTGGTTGTTTAATTTAATTTAATTTAATTGAGGAGGAGGAGAAGGAGGAGAAAGTAGATGGAGACAGTGAAAGTAAGAGAAGGACAACGAAGGGAAGATAGGAGGAGGAGAAGGAGAAGATGAGAAGGAGAAGGAGGGGAAGGGGAAGGGGAAGGAGGAGAAGGAAGAAAAGGAGGAGGGGAAAGAGAGGTAGAGAGGGAGGAGGAGAAATGGGAGAGGAGAAGAAATGGAGGAGAAGGAGAAGGAGGAGAAGGAAAAGGAGAAGAAGGGAGAGAAGGGGAAGGGAAAGGAGAAGGGGAAGGAGAGGGAGAGGGAGAGAGGGAAGAGGAGGAGAAATGGGAGAGGAGGAGAAATGGAGGAGAAGGAGGAGAAGGGGAAAGGAGAAGGAGAGGGAGAGGGAGAGAGGGAAGAGGAGGAGAAATGGGAGAGGAGAAGAAATGGAGAAGAAGGAGAAGGAGGAGAAGGAGAAGGAGAAGGAGGAGAAGAGAAGGAGAATGGGATAGGGAGGGGAGGGAATAGGAAGGGGAAGGAGAAGGGGTAGAGAGGGAGGAGAAATGGGAGAGGA